ATTTAATTGAAAGATAAAGGGAAATCTTTTTCTATAGAACGGAAAGATAAGCTGAAACTATATGGAAGGCTTTAGTGTACGATTGTAGATTGTAAATTATTCAAATCATAACCCTTTGGGTAGGGTGGGGCGACAGTGAATATAACAAGGAGAAAATCTGGTAAAAAAAAAAAGATAGACGGGTCAAAATTACTCAGGTGAGCATTACGACCCATGTCCTTTTCACGACTCACTTTGAACTCACTTTGAACACTTTATATCTGAGTTGATCACTATTATTCGGTATCTTAATTTAATTCACATCAATTTATTTCTTATTTATCTAGAATGCCCAAATGGATACCTCGACATGAAGTATAAATCCGTTCGTTCTTGTTTAAAATACGTACCAACGCCGTCAAGTTATTACAAGGCGTCTTTGGATTGTCAGAAAGCAAATGGAGATCTGATACGACTGGATTCATATGATAAATTTTACATTTTCCATCAATATCTGAACAGTAAGTACATGTAGTAAATAATGGAGATTGTAAAATGGATTTTAAACTGAAACAACGATTATTAAACAGCACAGAATGAAAAGCCAGGTTTCCCAAATTTGGAAACCCGATGGAAACATATGGGAATCGTGACATCAGTAGTTTCCATATAGTTTCCATTTTATGGAAACCACATAGTGGTTTCCACATAGATTCCCGACATGGAAACAATCAACCTGTGGTTTCCCGTAAGTTTCCCAAGATAGGAAACCATGGAAACATACCCCGGTGGTTTCCACATAGATTCCCGACATGGAAACAATCAACCTGTGGTTTCCCGTAAGTTTCCCAAGATAGGAAACCATGTAAACATGCCTTAGTGGTTTCCATACAGATTCCCGACATGGAAGCCACCAATGTGTAGTTTTCCCCATGTTTCCCAGGCATGGAAACTTTGAAAGTATATCTCAATACTAACCAACCTACCTTTTATTTTACAAAAAGTTAAATATTTAATTATGTTACCATATTTTTACCAATTATAGAAATATTTCAAAAGTGTTTACATGCTGTATCAAAATAATTAACTTCAAACAGTTAAAATAACTAGATGTGTATTTCTGTGTGATTAATTTAATATTTCAGCACCGTGAACGCAATTCAATTTTAATTTAATTTTATTTAACTGAATTTTATTTAATTTAATTTAATTTTGAATTTGATTTATCACATAAGTTTTGGTAAACTCGTATAGAATGCGTGAAGTGGAATAGGAAAAAGTAAGTGCATGCAGTTATGTAGAAATCAATCATTCCGATCCCACTTTCTTGAAGCTGTCTATGATGAATGTTCCTTTGAAAAAAATGGAAGAGCTAAGGAAGGGTACATTTAATGAAATTATTTACAGAAAAGGTTTACTAAAAAGATCGATTAAAAAGTAAATAAAGAAATATGTCAAGTTACGATTACTGATTAAGGACAGGTGAGACGTTCCTCAATAAAATAATTAATTTTTTTCCAATATTTTGCAATTGACATTGAAGAATTATTTTTACATAATTACATGTATTCACAAGACATCAAGGTACCTTACCAGGCATTTGTGTTAGATACCAGAGGTTGGCATTTCTTATATACCGGGGTAATTGGTCAGGAAAAAAATACTTCAATTGGTTTGTCAAAATTACATTTTTAGTGTTTCAAGTTTTTAAATACAAGTTTAGAAATTGATAAAGATTTTGTTTTAATATGAATTAATATATTAATATAAACTGGTCAGATAAGAATCATTCATCGAATTGGCTTGGGGCTGAGTATTATCATACTAGTATTTTACTATTAATAGTGAATATTGTCTTTTTTAATTTATTAAATCATTGTTTTTATTATTGGGGTGGGTGGGTTGCTTTTTATTTTTTTTCTTGAGAAGCCCCTCCCCCCCCCCCCCCCCAAAAAAAAAACGCTTTTGAAAAAGTCACTATGATCGGCCTGTGTAATTAGGGACACCTGTCCTCACGTGCCGCGAAGACACCTGTCACTGTGTATTTTTTGTATATTCTATGTGAATTGAGACGGTTTTGTACCAAAAGGGAACAATGGGCTGTTGTCGAGCATGTACACACACAGTCTCCGACTGAAAATTCTCTTAAATTAAGATGATGATTCGAATTTCTTTTATCATTTAAAAAATTGTATATTCCATAAATAAAGTTATACAAGAGAACATATTTATAAAATAACCTACATTTAAGAAGTTCAATGAAAGAACAAACTATTTAGAATTTTTATTTCAATTTTCATTACTGATTTAAAATAAAACTCTCCTCTTTAGAAATTAAATAATTTTCTATAGGTATTGAATAGATCTTAATTCTCGTCGTGTATAATTATATTAAATCCGAATGACGTTAATAGATCAATGTGAAATGTGTTCCAGCTAGAGATATAACTCTCCTAAGAAAAAGGTTTTCAACATTCTGATTCATTTAACAATTTTACGTGTTAAAATGATGTGGGAAATTTTTTTAGCTAAAGGCCAAGGAGTTTAAACATGTTAAAGTACAAAGTACATGTAGCAATTAGAGAAAAGTCTAGCAGGTCCACCAGTAATATTGATAGCTGGCTCAAAATCTAATTAAACCCCGAAAAGGAGGGAGTTCGATTAGTAATTTAATCCCCCCCCCCCCCCAAAAAAAAACACAACAATTTATTAGCAATGAATTAAACACCGAACTTTTCAATCATCACTATTGAAATAAAAAACTGTTCTTGATAATCATATTATAATTGTAGCTTATTTTCATGCCTTTAAGGATTCCTGTGGAAAGTTCACAATAAAAAAAATGTGCTTTTAAAAATTTTACATCTTTTGGTGTGACATTATAAATTCATAATCATACATGTAACAGTTAAAAGAAGCGGGGAGAGGTGTGTGTGTGGGGGGGGGGGTACTTTCAGCAAGGACGGCCACTACCAACAACCAAGCCCCGAAACCCATATCCCGAAGGCAAATAAGTTGAGGTGTCAAACAAGAAACAATTTTTTTTCTGCTCTTGCCTCATGTATTTAACCGCTTTTTTTCTAAATGTACTAGGCCTACACATCATATCGGCAGAAATATTTAGGAGCCCCTCTTTTTATTCCATGAAAAGGGGAAAACTTAACTAAATTCTAATATAAGATCTCATAATCACACTTAATCATAGTGAATGTAAACAGATTATATTTCCCATCCTGCATCGCTCTGTAGGCGCTTTATTTCATTGGTCAATTTCCCGAGGCGCCATTTTTGGAGGATCGAGAAGGACGAAGAAGAAGGTGTAAGCAGCTGGTAAACGTGAAAAGTTAAGATGGTTTCACCACCCAGTGTCTTTAAGACTGTGATAAATGCAATGGCCAACGATGAAGGATTAGTGTACGTATATTTTTGTTAACTTTTTACGGTAAATAGTTGTAATATTTGGCAACAACAAATCTTCACTATCGGAGGCAACTTTTGTCCTCACGCCATTTTGAAAAGTTGGATACCTAAGTTTTAAATTGTTAAGTGTATATATTGCAGAAAGAAAGAGAGAGAGAGAGAGAGAGAGAGAGAGAGAGAAATTTGAGACGTTGATATAGCATAACTTATATTATGAAGGCACCGTGCATGTACATGCTGTATGTTGTAAATTTTCAACGTTTCGCCTTTTATCATGTTTATTAAAATGTATGCTCCATGTGTATGTTCTCTCTCTATTATATAAATGAATACTTTTCGGAATTTAAAAAAAAAATATTTTAAACCCCGCTCAAATTATCCGGATGATAATAGTTACACCGAACATGGTTTCGTAATTAAATTCAGACTGTAGAACATCCGGTTTGAATACCACATGTGTTTTCTGACTTTTGGGAGCCAACTCTTGTTTTTTTTTGGAACTTACGACTTATGGCAAGGTATAAATTAAATATTTTTGGTTCAAAACTTTGATAAAAGCATCGATATTTTTACAAAAAGTGTCTTCAATCTCAGCTTATCCGATTATTCATGAAGGATATCCTCATCAGAACAGATTGTAGCGAATAGCATAACCCTTAATCATATGCATGACGATGATATGGAGGGAAAATATACATAAAAAAGTGAATGTAGGTGAAAGCCTGTCCTCTTTTCTGAAGAGATTATTGAAATAGTTTACTGCTCAAAAGATTTTTTTTTTGTAATGTCTAACCTGTTGAGATGAAGATGTAAAAAAAGAAAATCCTAATAGTGAATTAATATTGATAGTATGTCATGAAATGCAAATGAATCATCAGCTTGAATTATCAGTTTTTTCACAATTATTGACCTGAGTAGGTCAATGTATACTATAGCGAATAATACATACTCCTTTCCATATCGCATCCTAGCCCGAGACACCAATTTCAGCCAGAGGGACAGAGACCCTAGGGCTGATATTGGTCGAAGGTCTGATACAGGATGTGATGTGGAAAAGGGTTTGTTTCATTATGTTTATTACAAACTTGGTAATAAATTACAGAACACTTCAAGTTGAGAAGATCAAGAAAATAAGTAAATAATCATGCACAATAAAACTACTTACATACATGTACAAGGTATTGTATTGCTGAACAGATTTAGCTGTCATTAGGTCAAAATTGCAAATAATAACATGCTTCTTATATCTGTATATACAGGTAACTCTTGATGGCTTGAACTTCGATTTCTCGGAAGTTCTTGATCGCTTGAATTGAGTCTCTTGTCCCGATTTTTTCCACTATATAACTAAGCAGATTTGCTCTTGATTTCTCGAACTCCTGATCTTTCGAAACCCTTGATCCCTCGAAGTCAAAATGCAGTCCCACTGTGCTGTGAATTTTACCCTTGATACCTGTGGCTGTGTGTATACCAAGTTATAATGGTCAAACTTTTGCCATAACTGTATATCTGTGTGTCTGTCTGAGTGTCTGTTGTCAACTTAAACCTTCACCATAACTTTAGAACTATACGAGATAGTGGCTTTCAAATGGCAACAAGGACAATGATTATGTGTCAGTGATCTTGACTGTGACCTGTATGCTAAAAAAATTGCTTTTTCGAACTTTGTTGCTGTGTTTCACAAGCGCATCTTGTTTTGTTGGTCTCTGACCAGTAGAGCTTATGCGATAGTAAAGCGTCCGGCGTCCGTCCGTCTGTCTGCAAACACTACTCCTCCTTAAATTTTAGTCTGATTTCAATATAACTTGGCACACAAGTAGACTATACTAAGATACATAATTCTGTGCATCAGTTTTTGATAAGTACAAACCAGTAGAGCTACAATCTCGACAGAGACTTCTGGTTATTTTTTCTTCCATCCCGGTTGTTGCTAATGCTATTACATAATTAGTTTAAATTAGAATGCAATAGTACCTGGACATAATTTATCATTTCAGAGAGAAGAAAACTGTGTGACTTTAAAAGAAAACCAGTGAGATAAAATCATAGAAAATGTATGATGATTCAGGATGTGGTCATTTGGTAAGTGGTAATTCATTCATGATTCGTATGTATATGACAATTGCCTGAAAAAAAAGATTCTAAATTTTATTTAAATACTGAACTGTGGTATATCAGCTGTGAGCTACAAGAAGTTTTATGTAAAAGCTAGGGCTGAAACAATTTGCCCCCTCCATGTTATGTGTGTATTGCTATGATTGACATACAATCAGTTCTCTAATACATACACTTCAATAAAACTTTGTCGTCTCGAACCTGAATTGAACAGGAAAAAACTCTGAGATCTTTCCAAAAATTTGAATGAAAAAAAGGAAATGCTTATTAACTGATTTGTTGCTGGTCAGTATTTTGATTACTTAAAGGAAGCTCTAAAAACTGCACACTAAAGAGTTCTACTTTAACATCAGTTAGTTTTAAGAAGTTAGAGTGATCTGCCCATAGATTAAGATTATGAAAAATGTTATTTTACAGTCAGTTAGATTATTTTTAATAGATTAAATTATTTTAAGAATTATTTAAAATCAAAAAAATAGGAAATTAATTATTTTCGTAAATTTTTCCAATGTAAGTAAACAGCAATGATTTCTGCTTACAGATAGTCCATTGTCTTTGAAAATTTCTTGGGGAAATGAGGCACATACCATATGTTCTAAATGAATAAAAAAGGCTCATTATGCACATATTTATATGAAATATGATAGATTTTTTTCTCTCCAAGGAATAATTTCTGCAAGTCACTAAGTTTTTAGAGTTTCCTTTATTTTAAAGATATTCAATGAAATTATTTGAAGTATTAAATTTTGGTAAATTTTATGATACTAAAAGGTTATATGGATGAAAAAAAACAGCATGCGTGTATGACAATAGGGCTTAAATTTTTAATGTCTCTTAATTTTTGAGTGACATTAAAACAGGAATTGTCATCACCAATAGACGAATTTCACATTCCTAAGAGTTTTCTCCAATTGTTGGCGTATCGCTCATTTTTCCCACTTTGTCCTTTGTAAGTTACTTGTTAATATTTTCAATCTTCAAAAATATTGGACAATTACAATCTGTATCTGTATTGGCAGAGTATGGGGGCAACATGAAAATCATATTGAATATGTTCATACTGATTTATTTCTAAGATATTGTCCCTCAAAGTTGATACGGTTAAAGACGGAAAACAGCGTCTTAAGCCGGTTGACCCCATATCGACCCTGCAAAGGGGAATAACTTTTGTAAATGTGAAAATCCTTTATGGTATATCATATAGATCTAAAACTGACTGAATTTTGATCAGCCAATTTATGAACATGATGAATGGATGTAAATAATGTTGGACAATATATGTAAAAAAAAAATTAAATTACTTGTTTATATATACATTTGTGGTATCTCTCCCATTGAAGTTTATAAACTTGTTATTTATTTCTTAAATAAACTGAGCGTACATGCAATACCGGTATAAAATTACTCATAAGATGCATGTATACTTAAACCATGATAAAATCATATGTGTCCAATGCAGCATATGATAAGTCATTAATATACAAGTACATGTGTATCTATACTGTAATACATATATATTGCATTATTTTTAGGTCCTGTTCTGTGGATGCCCAAAGACAGTGTCTACCCATCACTCCATCTGATATCACTTGTTCTGAGCATATTTCTCTCTCAAACTTAAACTACAGAGAGCCTGTGGATAGTGGATGAAGAGTGACCTTGGACCAATTTTCTAGGTCAAAGGTCAGTATCAGGATCTACTGTATATCTTTATTTAAAATCGTAGTCCAGAGTATATTTCTCCCCTGCCTGGTGTAATCTAGCTTTTGTGCAATGGGGTGGATTCCGTGGAGGGTCTGCAATGATCTTCAACCAATTTCTAGGTCGAATATCAAAATAAAAAAAAATCTCTCCCAAATATTTTTGTTATTATAAAGAGTATGTTTTCTCTCAAACTAATCAAACTTAAAGCAGGGTTCTTAGTATGAAATACATGTAGTAATATATTCTCAATGACATAATAAGGCTGAAAACATTATTTATAGTAGGCCTAAAATAAAATATTGTTTGTTTGCAGTTGCCGACCGACCCACTGAAAATGCACCCGACCCAAACTTTTTTTTAGCCATTTTGTAATATTTTTTTCTTTCCAATTTTTCAGGATATTAAAACTGTTTCATTTTCAATTTTTTTCGTTATCAATCATACCAAGAGTGCAGCTTATTCATGTAAAGTAGGCCTATGAAAAACTTTATTTTATGTTATCTAACAAAGATCTGGAAATATTTTTTTTTCAAAAAAAAAAAAAATTGCCTACCTACCTACTCAGACTAAAAATTATAGGTCGGCAACTGCAAACAAAGAATTTTTTAAGCTTGGCCTTATGTTATTTTTTTTTCACTTATCATAAAGCATTAAATATTGAAGAGATACATTAAAAGCTGAAATCATATGTATCATGGTCATGGAAAGTAATTATTGATATTGGTATATTAAAGGACATTGACTGATCTTTCAGATTTCTAAGATATATTCAAGTATTATAATTCTGACATCATATAATAATTTTGTATGAATATTGCAGATCAAAGGTGATGTGAAGAAAACCAGGAAACTGATGTTGAAAGAAGTACTTAATGACCCTTATGAATGGACTTAAATGTGAAAGACTGTTCCATTGTTTATCTAAGATATATGGATTTATTTAATATTTTTATATCATTGAAAAATTCAGTTACAGTTTTTGTACATCAAATGAATTATTAAACATATAAAATGGTAATGCTTTTTTCTTTTACATGTAATAAATTTTTTTGATAGATTTTTAAAAGAATACACATTATTTCACATTGCTTCCTTTAGAAAAGTTAGGGAATCGTGAAGTTTCCCAGTAATTTCCACCAGGAATGGGACTCCAGATAATTCCACCAAGTTTCCGCCACACAGAAAGTGTTGCACAAGTTCCATATAGTTTCCTGAGTCAAGGAAACTGTAGGAATCATAAGGTTTCACGAGCTTCCATGTAGTTTCTCATAAGAGAAAACCTTAAGATTCCATCAAGTTTCCATTCCACGGAAACCACTACGCTCATATTCCATATGGTTTCCTGAGTCGAGGAAACTTTAGGAATCGTGAGGTTTCCCGAGCTTCCATGTAGTTTCCCGTATAAGGAAACCTAAAGATTCCATCAAGTTTCCATTCCACGGAAACCACTACGCTCCGATTCCATATGGTTTCCTGAGTCATGGAAACTTTAGGAATCGTGAGGTTTCCCGAGCTTCCATGTAGTTTCCCGTAAAAGGAAACCTAAAGATTCCACCAAGTTTCCATTCCACGGAAACCCCCTACGCTCCGATTCCATCAAGTTTCCTGATTCTGGAAACCAGTGGAATCTTCAGGTTTCCCATTACAGGAAACTACATGGATGTTCGGGAAACTTCAGGTTTACAGAGGTTTCCGTGGTTCGGGATACCTTATGGAATCGGAGCGTAGGGGGTTTCCGTGTCACGGAAACTTGGCGGAATAACCTAGCATCCGCTACGGAAACCACTGGGAAACATGATGTAAACTTGAGGTTTCCATGTGGTTTCCATAAAGTTTCCCATGATGGGAAACCACTTTTTTCACCCAGTGCAGGCTGATTATTTTTAATCACATTAAAATTCTTAACATAAACATTCTTAACATGCACTGCATCTCTGTTAATTTGATAAAGCATTTTAAAGGAAAGATATGACATATCAGGATTGTAATTTGATAAGAGCACGTTTTTGTTTCAGATTACCCTACAGCAAACGATATTTGGATACAAGGTGTGAAAGACAGCAACAATGTACTCAGATTTCATGATGGAACAAAAGTTGGAGATCACTGCCCTCTTGACCTAGATGGTGTCTCGGAAAAATATCTACGATACAAAGTTTCTGCCTCAGAATGTCTGGACTTTTTTGCTAACGGAAGTTTCAGCTACATGTGCGAATATGACTTTTTGCCATGAACAGGCACCCTAGAGGGCTGTTTTGTTACCTTTAAATTTTTAGACGGTCTCAAGTTTAAATGATCGCATTTAATCATGTTTGTTTCTCTATCTGTTTAATTAATTTTTTTTTTAATTTTGGACCAAATACAACCAAACGCGCCACAAATTAAAGTATCAAGTTTGTTTTAATGAAGGGCACATCTTCTTCAAAAGAGATAACGTTTTAATGGAAAAACATTTCTCAAAAAACTATTGGCCACAAAGTATGAAACTCATGGAATATTTTTAGACTTTATGAATTCAAATAATAACCTCAGGGGGTAGAAGGGTGTCCAAAATGGCTATCAAAATGAAAATCAAATTCGGACACCATTCTACCCCTGCAATTTTTTTTCAAATATTCCTCTACCTTTTTGAGGTTTTGAACAGACAGATAATTACATGCTTACATGTATGATTTAATGTTGTTTTACCTATCAAGCGATAATTTTTCTATCATAAAGAGAAATCACCGCAAACACGTTCATACAGTACCAGTGAAGGGCTTCATTAAAATATGCCCATTGAGCAGTGAGGGTTCTTTATCGAACCAACGCCTGCCGTGACACGGGACCTAGACGTGACCCGATGGTGAACAAGAGGCGATTCTTCTTAAATTATGAAGTTCAAAATTTCGTTTGTAAGTAAATATCTAAAAAAAAACAAGTTTTTGCAGCATGAATGTAAGTCAGTTAATTTTTAGTATTGTTTGAGAAATCTGAGCTAAATTGATTTATCTGATTCATGATTGCTTTGAGGAGAGATAAAGCAGAAAATTTAATATCAATTTTTAAGAGGGATTAGTTTTTATTGTGATCAAAGAAATATAAAATAAGACGATTATCCAAATAAGAAGTGTAAACGATATGAATTTCCATAATTTGAAAGCATCGCACTTTAATCACAGGAAGGTGGGAATACATTTTTTTCCTGTAAACCGTCAAGATATTATTAAGTCATTCCTTTATTTTTGAAGGAGCCCTGACAAAATTCTCCTTAGGCGTAAAATTCTTACAATACTGGATTATAAAGCAACCATAATTCAATTAGCTCAAAGTACCGTACGAGGTATAAAACATTAAAAGTTCCCTTGTTGATTAGAATAAAAGATTCTGAAATATTCGGTGTTAACGAAAAAAAGGGTTGGAATGAAAATTTGCATATGGGTTAAGTAACATGAAAGAATGATTGGTTGATTGTATATTGTTTAACGTCCCTTTCGAGAATTTTTCACTCATATGGAGACGTCACCGTATGCCGGTCAAGGGCTTCAAATTTTGACCTGTCATAGGAGAAACCAAATTCGAGAGGTGTGCTTATCGACGTTTATTCTATTTTTCATGTTTCTTGTTCGGGATGCGAATGCCTCTGAAGGAAATGCAATTCATTTGTGTTGCAGAAGGTATTGGTTCGAACTGCTCAGTGACCCCCCAAATCCGAGTATATAGGTAAATATATCGATTTTATTCACTTGAAAATTCTCGAGAGGGACGTTTAACAAAAAATAAAACTCACGAATATACAGTATATTTATTATCTGAATTGTGCATTTAAATTTACCAAACATTTATCACGGGCAACAGATAAATTAACCCTCTATGAAGGCTTTAATTAGCATTTTCTCCTTTACAACACCGATTTTATTATTAAGTTGAAATGCATTCATTTTCAGCAAAGGGGTCAACTTGTTACCTTAATCCTCAATAAAGGCTTTTACAATCATTTTCTCCTTTTCAACACCGATATTTTTTGTTTTGGTTATTTTTTATGTCGACATGAATTTATTTTCAACAAAAGAAAATTTATATTTTCAAAATGAGCATACTACACAGGACAAATTGTCATTCTTTTTGTATGGGAGACAAGGGATTCTTCCACACTCTACAGCAACAGGAAACAAGTACGGACCCTTGTCCCTACTGTCTTCAATTCCACCATCATAGAAAGCTGTCTTTTCAATACAAATATGGCGCGTACCACCCTCTCCTTTCTTTACACCAGCAGTGACCAAGACTCCCACATATTCCAACCTCCACTCTGCCGGACAGGTCACTTTGGCCGGGATCATCAGGACGGTAGACACAAGCTGTACCTGACAAACTGAACAGCTTAAGTGGTAGGTGAATCCAGAAACGACGTTTTTTTGTTCATTTAACACCTTTTTTACAGACGATGAGGAATCATATTCTGGAACTTGAGGGAGACAAAGGAAGTCGCCCACAGCTCCTCTGTCTAACTCTGTGCCGCTGGAACTCATAAAACCTATGGAAGAGAAACGTTTCCCAACGCTGTACAACTTAATTGTAAGATATAGTTCTAGTCTAGACATAACAATGACTTCAAACTACAGTGGACTTTCAGATATCCGGACGATTATTCATGGGAACAGAATTTTTAGCTCTACTGGTCAGAGACCAGAAGAGCTTATGCGATAGTAAGGTGTCCGTCGTCCGTCCGTCTGTCTGTCTGTCCGTCTGTAAACAATTTTTCAAAATGCTACTCCTCCTACAGTTTTGATCTGATTTCAATATAACTTGGCACACAAGTAGTCTACACTAAGATACATAAAATAGTGCATCGGTTTTTGATTCTGATGAACGGTGTTGCCATGGTTACTAAAAATAGAAATTTCTTAGAAATTCCTTTAAAACGCTACTCCTCCTACAGTTTTGATCTGATTTCAATATAACTTGGCACACAAGTAGTCTACACTAAGATACATAAAATAGTGCATCGGTTTTTGATTCTGATGAACGGTGTTGCCATGGTTACTAAAAATAGAAATTTCTTAGAAATTCCTTTAAAACGCTACTTCTCCTACAGTTTTGATCTGATTTCAATATAACTTGGCACACAAGTAGTCTACACTAAGATACATAAAATAGTGCATCGTTTTTTTATTTTGATGAGCGATGTTGCCATGGTTACTAAAAATAGAAATTTCTTTGAAATTCCTTTAAAACGCTACTTCTCCTACAGTTTTAATCTGATTTCAATGTAACTTGGCACACAAGTAGTCTACACTAAGATACATAAAATAGTGCATCGGTTTTTGATTTTGATGAGCGGTGTTGCCACGATTACTAAAAATAGAATTTTCTGGGAAATTCCTTTAAAATGCTACTCTTCCTACAGTTTTGGTCTGATTTCAATATTACTTGACACACAAGTAGACTGCACTAAAATACATGGACTCCTGCATCAGTTTTTGATTTTCTTGAACAGTTTTGCCATAGATACTAAAAATAGAATATTCTGTGAAATTCTTTCAAAATGCTACTTCTCCTACATGTATTTAAGTTTCAGTTCAATTTCAGATACACTAGGTAAATAAGTAGCTTATACAAAGATACATAATTTAATTAATTAGAAATGTCATGTTATTTTCTGTTTCTTACTATATGATCATTGTTGTCATGGTAATAGAATATTCTGTTATATATACTTTCAAGATAACTTAAAAATAGTATAATCTGTCATCTACTTTTAAAATGCTAATCTCAAAGTTTTAATCTGATTGTATAATAAACTTTATACACAATGAAATAGACTTTTAAAATTTTGCTTTAAATAAAAAAATAAGTTAACATAACATAAGACGTTAACGACAAAAATTCACTCGGGTTCGATGTTCAGAAAAAGTTGACGTACAGTCGCCATATTGTTTTCTACAGACGGCGTGGTCAGAAGTTGAAAGTGTCATCTACATTCGTTTTACAATTAAGGGTTATTTAATCAGTCATAGATAATACGTTTTCTTGTGTTATTAAAAGGTATTTATTGTTTACTATATTTATTTTACGTTTCATTGCTGACTTCTTCTCTATGACTAGAACGAATTTAGCATTAAAGGCATAAAAAAATAAACTGGTTTTTCCGTTCATAACAATATAAATAAGAGAAATCTTCGGTCAAAAACCCATGTTGACAAAGCAAAGAGATAGATATTTAAATGGCTAGGAACTTGAAAAATTTAAACAAACACTGAGCATGCTGAGGTGAGAAAATGTAATTACATTATTTTTTCATTTTCTAAATAGCGGTTTGACACTGGTACTCCACTGTGTGTTTTTCTATAGGAGGACACATCGTCTCAAGCCACGGTCCAGAGTCTGCATATATAGCTCTCTCCTACCCATCGCTGCTTGAACACAAAAACTGTCGTAATCTTGAATATTTACGCCTCTCTATTGTGTCGTCATATTCTGTCAGTGGCAAGTTTTTTTTCCATCACAATCGAAATCAACAACTGATGTCAACAATATACAAGATATATTTCTTATACTGCGATTGGATATTGAAAGGTCGCGATAAAGTTCATCATCCGACTATGCTTTACTCACAATGGTCAATATTTTAATGAGCTACGAAGAATTCTCTCCTCGTTCAACCACAGCCAGATGGGAGAGGAGCGTACATTTTGGCCGTGGTTTGCGACGATGAGGAGGACACTACTTTCGATCTTTTTTTTTTGGTTTGTTATCTTTTTATTATGCCTAGCATCAGGATATTAGCACTGCCAAGTGACTTGTTTGACTTCAATCTTACTATTTTCTTACAAAACCACTACAATTGTGCAAATTGTGGATTATTATTTTTTGTTGGACAAAATATATTTTTCCATATGTAATATATTTATAAAGTGAGAAGTGAATAGAACACTCATCACTGCAAACTCGGAAAGCTACACCTGGGTGTAGAGAAAATTGGGACTATCACACATATATTCCTAAAGTTCAATGAAGCTAGTTTGAATTAAATTTTAAAGCATGCATAGCAGCAGAATTGAGTGACATGCCACACATCGGTGGTCAGATATAGGTATCAGTGCTTTTTTTTTTAGAGAAAGACAAAGGAAAGTTATGTTAATCACTAAAATGTAGACAGTATTGTATTACGTGAAACGGATCTGTTCTGCATGGTGTGATATGTTTGCAAATGACATCGTAATAATCTTACTGAATGACCTTAAAGTAGAAATAAAATTTTAATTCACATTATGATTATTGTACTAGCATTAAGCATTAGCTGCTGTGTGAACACAAGTTTTAATTTGCTTTATACATATGTATTCTTATTCACATTATTTTAGTTTTTACTTCACAATAATTTACTGTGAACAGTTCATAGATTACACAGAACGAATTCTATTTTTTAACAGAGTCTGTACAATGTCATTAATATGATAGAACATGAAACTTGTTGCTCTCTTGTTGAGACAGATAGGCTAGAGAGCTATAGATCTGTAACACTGTAAAAACCTGCTTTTTGTCTGTGCTTTCAGGTGTTTTTCTTGATTTTATGCATTTGCCTACTTTAAGCGTGGTATCCATTATTAGTCCCCTACCAGTGAAACCGTAGGGACAATAGGTTTCCTCAGCGTCTGTCTGTCCGTCCATCGGTCCATCCGTCTGTCTGTTAGTCTGTCTGTCTTGGTTTTCCGCATTTTTTTTCTGAAAGCTTACAGATATTGAGCTGAAATTTGGTATGTAAATGTATCTTCATTTTAATTTTGTTTTGCTTCATTGATTTTTGACGGAATTATGGCATTTTTAATTTTTCATAATTATAGAGTTCGTGCTGCGCTAAATTCGGATGGTCGACATTGAACAGTGTGTGTTGTAAATTATGAAGCGAGAAAAAGACGAGGGTAGATAATGAAGAAATAGTTAAAAAATTGTTTGCATGCTTAAAAAATCTTCAAGAACAACTGGGTTGGGAAAGATGATACTAAAGTGGAAGCATCCTCGGGTAGTGCAGATTCAAATTTGTTCAAATCATGACTCTTGGGGTAGGGTGGGGCTGCTGGGGCCACAATGGACAATCAAAGTTTTTAAAATCCTCTCAAGAAAAAACAAAGTCATGACTGGTCATATTTAGATGGAAGCATCCTCATGTAGTGTAGATTGAAGACAAATCTTCTCAAGAAGAACAAAGCCATGATTAGTCATATTTATATAGAAGCATTCTCAGGTAGTGTAGATTTAAGTTTGTTCAAATTATGACCACCAGGGGTAGGATTGGGCTACAATGAAAAAATCAAATTTTAAGAATGCTACTGTAAACAGGGAAATTTTTGCCTCCATTTTATTTTCGCTCTACCCTCATTTTGGCAAATTTAAAATGGGGCAAATTAAAAGAATAAAATATAATTTTTTAAGCAAAACTACAACTGGGCAAATTTAAAACGGGGCAAAATTTTTGCAAGTGTGAAAGGCCGAAAATAAGAAGGGGAGAAAATAGCCTTGCATACAGTATATATATAGAAAAAAATCTTTAAATTTCTTATTGGAACAAGTAAACCATGATTGGTCATGGTTATATATAAGCATACTCGTGTAGAGTAGATTTGGGTTTGTTCAAAGCATGACCTCCAGTGATAGGGTGGGGACACAATGGATGAACAATATTTTACATAGGAATATATAGGGAAAATCTTCTCAAGAAGAACAAATCCAGGATTTATAGCCATATTTATATGGAAGCATTTTCTGGTAGCGTAAATTTAAATTTGTTGAAATCATGACCCATGGGGTAGAATGGAGCCAAAATGGAAGTTCAAACTTATAGGGAAAGCAGCCATAGTAGTCAATGAAATATGTAAACATTCTTAGCTAGTGTGGATTCAAGTAATTCAAATCATACCCCCATCCCCCATTTTATAGGTAGGTTTGGGACCAATTGCTTTTAAGCTTTTCAATACTGGATTGATTTATGCTTTTTAGCTCTACTAGTCAGAGACCAGAAGAGCTTATGCGATAGTAATGCGTCTGGCGTCCGTCTGTCTGTCTGTCCGTCTGTCTTTAAACAATTTTTCAAAATGCTACTCCTCCTACAGTTTTGGTCTAATTTCAATATAACTTGGCACACAAGTAGACTACACTAAGATACATAATTCTGTGTATCGGTTTTTGATTTCGATGAACGGTGTTGCCGTGGTTACTAAAAATAGAAATTTCTGTGAAATTCTTTCAAAATGCTACTCCTCCTACAGTTTTGGTCTGATTTCAATATAACTTGGCACACAAGTAGAATACACTAAGATACATAATTCTTTGTATCGGTTTTTATTTTCGATGAACGATGTTGCCGTGGTTACTAAAAATAGAAATTTCTGTGAAATTCTTTCAAAATGCTACTCCTCCTACAGTTTTGGTCTGATTTCAATATAACTTGGCACACAAGTAGACTACACTAAGATACATAATTCTGTGTATCGGTTTTTGATTTCGATGAACGGTGTTGCCGTGGTTACTAAAAATAGAAATATCTGTAAAATTGTTTCAAAATGCTACTCCTCCTACAGTTTTTGTCTGATTTCAATATATCTTGGCACACAAGTAGAATAAACTAAGATACATAATTCTGTGTATCGGTTTTTATTTTTGATGAACGGTGTTGCCGTGGTTACTAAAAATAGAAATTTCTGTGAAATTCTTTCAAAATGCTACTCCTCCTACAGTTTTGGTCTGATTTCAATATAACTTGGCACACAAGTAGAATACACTAAGATACATAATTCTGTTTATCGGTTTTTACTTTCGATGAACGGTGTTGCCGTGGTTACTAAAAATAGAAATTTCTGTGAAATTCTTTCAAAATGCTACTCCTCCTACAGTTTTGGTCTGATTTCAATATAACTTGGCACACAAGTAGAATACACTAAGATACATAATTCTGTATATCGATTTTTGATTTGGATGAATGGTGTTGCCGTGGTTACTAAAAATAGAAATTTCTGTGAAATTCTTTCAAAATGCTACTCTTCCTACAGTTTTGATATGATTTCAGTATAACTTGGCACACAAGTAGAATACACTAAGATACATAATTCTATGTATCGGTTTTTGATTTCGATGAACGGTGTTGCCGTGGTTACTAAAAATAGAAATTTCTGTGAAATTCTTTCAAAATGCTACTCCTCCTACAGTTTTTGTCTGATTTCAATATATCTTGGCACACAAGTAGACTACACTAAGAACATAAAGAGACTTTATCAACGATCATTATTCTATTTATTGCTGTTGTAAAGTTTCAAATCCCAGCTGCTTAAGGACTTTTCTCTTCCTTTGCTATAAGTTCAAACCAGTAGAGCTTCAGTCTCGACAGAGACTTCTGGTTTAACGTTATGTTGTCTCATTTAACTGGCAACTCAGATATCCGGATATTTCACATATCCGGACAAATTGACTGGGAACCGGATAAATGAGGGTCCACTTTATCTTAATCACTCACCTGCTATGGAAAAAAACTATTCTAAAGATAAGTTACCAGATGTTTGTGAATTATATTATTATGAAATATTCCACTAGATACTGACCTGTGTATATTGTCCTTGTGTTTTCATGTTTCGGACACACCTTCCCTCCCCAAAGCGTATAAACTGCTAATTATTAATTAAATAAAGGTACATTTTTAGTATTTATAAAAGTAATCAAAACACATTTTATTTGATTTTGCCTTCTCGTTAGTATACTGAACGGGACAGATATTGGTACACCAAGTCCGATGGTGAAAGTTAAAAGTACAGGTACATATCGTCACTAGTAGACCACCAGATTTTAAGTAAATCGCCGTTTATTAAAAAAATCAGAAATTTTGCAAACTTTGCCTTACAAGGGTCTTTCTTTCTAATTCAGAAATATTTAAATATAAATACTTTAAAAATTTGCTGAAAAAATTTAGCAAATTCATATTTCAAAAGGTGAATAACTTGTTAGGGCACCGCAAAAGTGGAGCATCCCCTCACCAAGAGCATATCAATAAATCAAAATGGCATTCGACCACAGGCACCTGATGTTACTTATTTTTCTTTTAAGAAAAAAAAATATACACATACCTAATATTAAACAAGGTATCCATCGAAATCCGCCATCTTGGATTTTCGAAGTAGATCATCACTTGTATTTTCGTCTGAAATTCCGTCAAATAAATTCCCTGCAACCATATTCTTTCTGTGGCCAGTCTTTCGAGGACACTGCAGCCAGAAAGGCGCATCACACTTGCAAATATTGAAAATCCCTCGTCAAACTCGACCTACTGCTTCAACATTCCGGGAAATCGCCAAAGGGGGACCGGAAGTTTACATACGACTTGAAATTCTTAGGGAAAGTCCTTTTTTGATTGGTCAATATATTTGTACGATTTATTTTTAAAAATAACCGGCGAAAGTTAGTACTTATTCCAAAAACAATAATTCAGACAATAGTACAACGTAATATACATTTAAGAACATTCGTTTTATTTCTCTCAAAATAATTTCGATATAGCTTGATCAAAGCGATTATATTTTGTAAATGTCGAAGATCGGCCTGATCATGCTAGTTGATCAATGAACATTTTCGAGACAAATTGAGTCGGTTGTAAGTCCCTACTTACATGCACTAATTGCCACTAAATATAATTAATAACAATGTCATTATTGATGCCCTGATTGAGCGCTATCCGTGGAGAAGATTGACTTTATTTAAAGTATGTACGCACGTGTGTGAGGGGGGGGGGGGTCCACACTAAAATTATCCCAGGGAGTGTTGAGATCTGCAATTTTATGTATTGCAATAAAGTAGCGGCATGGCGACATTTTTATTTTTTTCTTGATGAAAGATTACACATAAACATGTTGCATAGGCTTATATTTGATTTCATTACATATCCTGTTATCAGTGTGATCCCTCTCCTTTTTCAATTAAGCATATGCCAGGTATATATAACTGGATGGTTTGCAGTCTATTGTTTTTTGAAAATGATACAATTAACTCTGGATGATTGTTGTTGATTTTTTTTCAAGCACCCCCCCCCCCTCTTTTATTCAAGATTGTTTCGAACGCAACGACCTGTATAGATTAATACAGTATATTTTACAGGTATATTTATAAGAAGTGTTTTATTTTTCTCATTTTGCATTTTTTTCATTTCTATTATCGAAATATTTATTAAAATTTCAAAGTAATTATAACACGCCGCTTTAGATCCACCACAAAACTGACAAATACGGAATTCCCATTAGCATATTGATGTAAACTTCCGGCCCCCTTTTGGCGATTTCTCGGAATGTTGAAGCGGTAGGTCGAGTTTGACGAGGGATTTTCAATATTTGCAAGTGTGATGCGCCTTTCTGGCTGCAGTGTCCGTAAGTTTAGACCTCGAAAGACTGGCCACAGAAAGAATATGGTTGCAGGGAATTTATTTGACGGAGTTTCAGACGAAAATACAAGTGATGACTTACTTCGAAAATCCAAGATGGCGGATTTCGATGGATACCTTGTTTAATATTAGGTATGTGTATATTTTTTTTATTAAGAGGTAGTCCACTGAAAATCAGGCAATGGGTGGCACATCGCATGTCATGGATTTTTATTATTTTTTGCATGTAGACTTATTAAAGCAAGTGTTTACACATGACAACAGCAAAAAAATTTTTAGTGCTCCACTAGTCCTATTTTTGGTAAGTGCTCAATTTTTAGTGCAAAAAGGTCAACATGGGGGTAAAAAAAATTACTAGGTTTTTATTTTGTTTTATATGTACCAGATACGCAAAACCTGGATGTGTCTATCAATATTATTTATACCATAGACTCTTATCTTTAATTTTAGTAATGAATAAGACTCCAATTTATATTTCTTTAGAAAAAAATATGTGGTCCAAAATTGAGTTTAGCAAGTAACTTTTTGAATTCATTACCCAATTTTCATTACGTTATAAAACCCAATACATTTCAATGACAGATTTTTTTTCTCATGTTATTATGAATACAAAGTACAAACTTTTGAGTCACTCAATAAAATCAGTGGGCACCCTTATATTGAGAGAATTAAAAGGAGTCAAATTTACCTATGTTTTACAATTTTTCACAATTAAACCGATCCCGACCGGAATTATATGAAGAAGGAAATACTATAATTGTAATGTTAAATTTGGCTCTTTTGTTGTAATATGGCCAAAAAATTACTTGATTTATTTGTACATGTCTTATGGGTGGCAGTTGTCTTTAGTTTTATAACTTTACACATTTTGCATTATTTTCAATCGGGATCGGTTTTATGTCAATCGGGATCGGTTTTTACCGTAAAACTAGAAATATTCTGCATTTAATGTATCAGAAAAAAATATGCTTGTCTTTTATTTCTGTTCAGTTAGTCAACTGTTTTAAAATTATTTTATCCATGGATTCAAATGTTTATACAATTTATTTAAAATACTAATGTCTTTTACGTACATGAAGATTACAATCATGTATAACATCTGTTTGATTTCTTGATACTCGGTATTAAAAATACAAGTATTTGTACATGCATTATGCAACAACTGAGAGTAAACAGCTTATCTTTATTAAATATCTTATTTCCAACTAAAGTTTTTTTTTAATTCTCTTGTGAATTAAAGAGTTCAATTCTATCATTGGCAAAAATATACTTGCACGTACCTAAATGCAGAAAATATTTAAATGTGCACAGTCTCGGCTTTATCCAAATTTTTTAAACCTGTCATCTATAAAAGCCGTTTCCCCTATATTTTCATCTTATAAAATTTAATTTTATATTAATAAGAAAATAAGTTATTTCATATATATAGTATCATTATTTAAGAGCCTAGAAATCGCAAGCAAAAAGCCGGGACGGGGTGGGGTGGGGGGGGGGGGGGGCAAGGCGGCATATTAAAAAAAAACTTTCATCAATGGGAAAACATTTTAGAATTGGCCAACATGGTCACATTTTTTAACTTCATATTGAATGTGAGTATGCGATTGTTTCAATCACCAAATTTAACCCCCCCCCCAAAAAAAAACAACAAACAAACAAACAAACAAACAAAAACAATACAAAACTAGAGGTACTGTGAACAATGAGCTCACTAAATGATACCCCCGCCTCCTAATGAATATAATGGCAGTGTCCATGTTTTGCTCTGGAAAATCAAGAATATACCGGGGTATGTCAGATCAAAAAGTAAACTAGGAGATGCATAATGGCAATATGTAATTAAGAATCTGTGAAAGTTTCATTAAATTTCCTACAGTGGTATGAGAGGAGTTGCGGAAAAGAGATGGGTACCCCAAAGCGTAACAGACGGACGGACGGAAATGCCGATTACTATATACCCTCCCACTTTTCAAGCGGGGGGTATAACAAAAAATACGCCCACGAAATCTTCCGTTTTAGCGGCAAATTGAAGTGGGGAGTTCAACAGTAATTTTCCTCAATAAATATTTTTTAAATCTTATTTTTCACTTTTTTAATAAAATATTTTTAATCGTACCGCGGATCGTTTACTTTGGTTTGATTGCATAGATAAATATAATCAAAAGTTTTTTTTGTTTGTTTGTTTGCTTTTTTTTGTGCGCGTGTGTGTGTGTGTGTGTGTGTGTGTGTGTGTGTGTGTGTACAAATATCATGAAATAAACATCTCAACTCCGTTGACTTGAATTAAACATCTGAACTCCGTTGACTTGAATTAAATGTTGCGTAAATCTAAAATATTCATCTTTCCTTGATAATCAGAAGAAAATAAAATCTCTTCATATCCCAATTTTATAAGAAATATTCAATATAAACAATTAATTATTTGTACGCATAGCCTAGTAAATCAGTTTTAAAAATTTGTTCTCGGACATGTACAAAATTACTTTTCAAAAGGGACTTCTAGCTGAGACGTCGCCCGTGAAAAAAATACATTTTATATAAAAATATATGATTATTTAACAAGTAGGATGATGCACTCTGAAAAGTAATTGAACAGAAAAAGAGAAATTATTTATTTTTAATCGTTTTATTTGCGCTTTTATGCAAAGAATTTACAAACTTCTTTGGAAAACTTGTTACTATTTAATTGTGACGCAATATTAGTCAGGTATATGACGTCACTGATACATCAATGGAAACGTGGATTCATCCTGAATAATACTGCCAATATTAATCTAAATATTACGTTTGGAGGCGAAAATGAATTCTATTTCAAAAATAAAGTAGTAATTTTTTGTTAAATAATTTTATTTTGTGTATATATTCTAAATATTTTACTAGGATTTCGATAGTAAGGTGTTTAGCAGATTTACCGATGCCACGGGAGATAACTCTTACATCGCAACATTTCATAAAAACGTCGATATATTTTGACAGAAAACTACTATCAAAAGTGTTTTGCCCACCAATTTTATTTTTGAAACTGAAAGACGAAATATTTCTAGATTTAGTTCAGCATGAATTATAGTCCTGTTAAATAAGTATTGGAAATTACAGTTCGTTGTTTCTGACCGAAATTCAATGGTTTATATAGGGGAATTCAAGAACACGAAACAAAAGGATATTTTACTAAATAAGCAATTTTAAAACAAATCTTCGATTACATTATTCCATTTGGACTACATTGATATTGTTTTCAATAAAATATCAAATATTCGTCACATTCGATGTGCCGCCTATTAATACAATACTGCCTGGTTTTTCGGTGGACTGCCTCTTAAAAGAAAAATAAGTAACGTCAGGTGCCTGTGCATTCGACATAGATCCCGATGCAAATACTTCATTTTCGATTTGGACAGCGTTAATTCAGATATCCACAAACGAATTCAACATAACACGTTTGCGTTACATATACTTAATCTCCCCCAAACTCCGTTGCGAGAATTTGAAAACAGATTGCCTCGCAACGAATTACCGGGGTCCCTGATTATGATTTGTTGACGATCTAATATATTTTTAAAGTAATGAGATCGATAGCTGTCTGTTAACTAAACCTTTTGCATACTCAACCAATACTAACAAACGGGCATGTTCTTTTCGGTACTGGCCTCCGTCATCTTTACACTCACGATGGCTTACGATTTAAAAGGCATAGTCTGATTGGTCGAAGAATGTAAGCAAATCTTTTTAGAGAATATGACAACCTGAATATAAAGATATGGAACTATTGGAGGTTAACCTATGGAAGCTGAGTCTACAGCATCAAATTCCTGATCATTGGAAAACTAAACTTGGGTTCCTATATGGTAAAGAAAATGTATGAAATGCACATAATACTGACCAGATCCTTTCAATTTGTTTTGAATGTTGTCAATAAAACCATCGTATAAAGGATCGTTCCATGTTGAGATTTGTCTATCTTCTCCCATCAGTGATGGTGTTTGTAATGCTGTTGGATCTGGCTTGTCGTGAGTTATTAGGTTCGTCTTTTCGCTACAACGTAAATAAGAACTTGAATCGACTTTCGAAGCGTAAAGTGTCGCATACAGTGAAATCACTAATTTTCGTGGGGATTTGATTTTCGTTGTTTTCGAGGTATGAAGAGACCCATGAATTCATGTCTACAACGAAAAGTAAAATGTCATATACATGTCTACTCAACAATTTTCTTCATCCACGAAATCATATCCGCGGGAACCCGTATATTTTCTTCCAACCACGAAAATTTGACCCCACAAAAATATGTGATTTAAGAATTGAGAAATCGATGTTTTTAAAAACATTTTTAGGCAGATTATAACCTTTCAGCAATATCGTTATTTTGCTTTATTTCCTTTATAACATCACGTAAATCCTGTATACTTCGCTCTAAATGCATACGCATTAAAGCTTCATGTTCAAGTTTATCTTCTAAACGGTCAATTTCTTCGTGATGCTGCCTTGGCAAAACATCCATCCTATGTGAAGAACCTTCAGCCACACAAAAAAATGAAAAGCAAAAAATATAATGATCTTTAGTATAAATTTCTAAATATAAATGTTTAATTCCAATTTTTTTTTATCTACATGCAGCTTTTCTCTTCTTTATTGAAATGTATTAGAATGAAAAAAAGTTATACCAATGAAAAATTGATTCCTTTAAATTTTTTTAATCGTAATACCCACAAAACTTGGTTTCGTCGTCGTTTTGAGGACAGTCGGTGATGCCACCACATACCCAGGAGTAGGGCACACATCTAGAACCTTCACATGTAAACTCGTTTATTAAACAAGCACGGGAACCGTCTGGAAAAGAAATATTTTTTTCAACACAGACTTGCTTGCATTGTTTGAATTTACCGAGATTGAAATTGTTTTGAGGAAAGCAATTTTGGTAAGCTTTCAAATAAAATTATAATTTGCTATGGGTTGGAAAAAAAATGGGGAAACAGCACCTGTAATGTACAAAATTTTGATTGATAGTGTATAGTTTAACGTCCCTCGAGAATTTTTCACTCGCAAGGAGACGCCACCACTTGCCTGTGGAGAGCTGCATTTTTTTGTCCTATACACATTCCACAGTTGGATTAGAACCCGCGACGTAATTAGGATCAACTCCTTACTTTGTGACTCTAAGGCAGACGCTCTAATCACTGCGCCACGCGGGCGATTGTACATAATATTAACATGACACATACCGGTAATTTGTAAACCGTTCACAGTTCTTCAGTAGGTAGAGCGCTCTATGATCGGAAAGTCGTGAGTTCGAATCTCGATCGCGAATGACTCGAGTTCTTTCGGCATGTATTCGACACTGTTACTGAAGCGAAAGTTGCGGATCCTAATGAGACCTGATAGGCGCTGGCACGATAAAGATCCGTCACTACTCAGTGGCCCTCAGTGCCGTGTAAAGGTCAAAAGTTGAAGCCATTCACATTGGGAACGTCTCTTTTTAAGAAAATATATCTAATGGGACGTTTAACAGCAAACAATCATAATCTGCAAACTATCGCTTTGGGAGTTCATGAGATTAAAAAATTCCATTTCAACATAACAGGTGCTCTCTTGAATGTCACAACTGCAAATTTGACTTCCACAATTGTATAATAATATTAAATTTCTTGCACCTTCAATGCCAAAGAATCGTTTGTCTAAAGGCCGGTGTTACCGGTCAACAGGGAATTCTTTACCTTCCCAGGCATCTGATTCTACGTCTGAGGTATCTAGGGAACCTTGTTTAATATACCCTCTTTGCAGAATTGTATTCTTTACAGATCGGTTTCTGTTCATTATCTTCCATGTTTTTCATTTTAAGTCTAAATATATTTACCTGGGACACAGTAAGTTCCATTCACGTTCGTCATAAATCCAATCCTGCACAAACATTGTTTTTGTGAATTACATCCTCTTCTCTTACATTGCGCATGCTCGGGACACTCCTCATCCAGGCTACATCCATGATATATGTCAACTTTCCTATTCCTTTCTGATAACCTTCCCATCAAAAGCTTAATTAATTGATTCAATTTCCCTTCATTGTTTCTTCTAAGTAAAGACACCACAGTTTTATTAATAAAATTGTGTGCATTGTGAAAATTCCCTTCGGTACTTTCCATTAATATATCATTGTTTACATGATTACTTTGTTCAGTAGTATGCGAAGAGTTTCTTATCTTTAAGGTTGCATTTTGATTGTCCGAAGATCCTGTAAAACCCTCTTTAGAGGGCAGTTTCTTATTGGAGAGAGCGTTTGCAGGAAAATCCTCTGTTATGTCAGAGGGTACCGTATCTATCTCCCCTTCCTTTACATTTGTGTCAATATATTCAGGATGAGTCTTGAGCTGTGAATTTTTCGAAGATGAAAGCATTTCAGAAGTTGTGTCGTCTGAATTATTTGAGAAATGGTCGTTTACCTGTGTTTTGGATGACATCACGTTTGAATTGACAACATCAGAATATGAAGGATCTTTGATACCTGTCCAATCTTCAACTTTATTACCAGTCTTTTCATCGTGATTTTTTAACGGTTCCCCACTTTTGATATCCTCTGGATTAGAGTTGTCTTTCTCACTTAACTTCCCATGGATTTCCTTGCTGTCATCCTTATTTTCAGAAACAACAATGTCTTGTCCCGTATTTGAAGGCATATTTTCCGACATAAAATCGTTTGCTTGAACCTCGTCCACTATCTGACTTACACTATTATTACTTTGAATAACATTGTTTTCATCCATCAAAAGATCCTCTGGTACTTGGAGATCTTGACCATGACATTGGTCTGTAAGTTAACGAAAGCATTTGAAAAATATTTCCACACTTAAATTTATTGCACCAACACCAAAACATGCACGTTTTTTGATTGTATTAAGTAAAATACAAGTCCATTTCAAAATTATTTGTTAAATATTTTCGTATGTACCTTTTATCAACATGGACTACGTCCTTTAATTATTATCAATTAAGAATGAATAACCGTTCCTTTTATTCATTTCTGGATTTTTATTTCCATATAAAAGGGATTGACCGGACTTACCTACAGAGTAATTTTTGTCAACGCATTTTCGAGCCTTCAGAGGATCTAACCAATACTCTTTCGGGGTTATCTCCCGTTTGTCTTCTGGACAAACACAGACATCGCCATCACATACGGTTGACAGAACACAAATCTTGTCAACACACGGATGGTGGAGTTCAGCTTCAAAAGGGGACTTGCAATGGCCGTCAGAAGTTGGTTCCATTAGCTCATTACACTGACACACACTATCCATACAAACGGCGAACGGAGAGAGACATCTGTTTAGATTTCCATCACAATCCTCTCCCATTAGTTTACCTGCGAGATATTTGACTATTTTATTTATCTGTTATGTGTGGGGTTTTTCGGTAGAAGTCGTTTGTATATATCATAAGTACAAATAATATATGGAGATAACGAAGAGTATTCAAACTCAAAATGCCATAAAATACTAAAAAATAGGAGCAGAGCAAACATGGACCTCCAAAACATCTGAGGCAGGGTCAGGTACCTTGAAAGATTAAGCATTTCATGTCGACCTGGTCACATTCGCCATGTGCTCATTGTCCTGATCGGGACATTACGGGATAACCTGTCGCCAATTCAGTGTGTATATAATGGCTTAACAATTAGTATGAAAAAAGTCCGTCTGCATATGATTTAATAATAAATTGTATTTGCTGACAAAGTCATTACGTCCACCGCTACAAGAACAAGAAAAGTTGACGATTGAAAAGTCAAACATCTCAATCGTCTTAAAGCTTGATTGTGCGAAATATCAAATCCATATCTCTTGCGTGTACAGTTCTTGAGTTGTAATGTATGACAGTCAGGCAGACAGACACCTAGTTAAGTGATTCCTTAGTGTCGCTCGTCTCTGCATGCGACAAACAAATGATATGTTTTCAATTTTGATTCTTACCTGGAACACATTGTGATCTATCGTCAGTATACACGAATTGTGAAACACACTGACACATATATCCCTCGCACCCGTTAGGGCGACATCTAGCGTTAGCAGGACATTGAGAGTGTCTGGTGCATTTCTCAAATATTAGAAGAGCTGTAAATACATACATACATAAAAGAGATGCAATAAAAATAAATATTGAAATTCAACGACAAACTAGTCTTAAGAAACTAAATTCATACCTTGAGAAAATGTTATCACGAAAAAAAAATGAATCAGAAAATCATACGAAAAAGCCATTTGGTTTCAAAACATTAAAAGTCCGGTAAATACATACAGCACATGTTTGCACTCTGTAACTATAATTTGTTAGAAATGTTCTTTTTCTATAGTTACTGATTACATAAGAATTCCAATGTCTGTCGCATTTCCCACGTACATGTTACTCGTTTGTCATACATTAAAGCGCACCTGTTGTGTAAAAAAAAAATTGATAGAGCGGAAATGAAGACCAATACAGACGAATCGCTAACGTTGATCAATTCATCATAATTAAACATTTGTCATACATGTAAATGGACCAGGGAGAGCTTATTAAAAGAATATCTCTGTTGATGGAGAATGATCCATTTAACCAGCAAAAATGTTTTTTTAAAAATATTTACCTTAGATTTTTTTCAAATTAAAACTTTGCTTTGGATTTTTTTTCTCAATACACATGTACATTATCCTGGTATTAATTATGAGATCGACGTTATTTTCTCCTAACGAAAATAATTTTTACGTACACACGTAGAAAATATGGAGCTATGATACGGTCTTTCAGATGTTTTGTTTTGTTATAAATGTTATACCTTTCTGTGTATAAATAACTCTTCCTTTTAGTTATCACTGATCAGAATCATTGTTGAAGTAAAACTAAATGCAAGATTTTTATTATGTTTATCATTTGAGCTCTTCCGAGCAAAATGGCCATAGATGTATGTGCGATAAACTTGAAGAGTTATGGACCCTCTCCAGATACAAAAGCAAGTCTTTATCACATTTTAATAACATATCCTTGGCCCCGGGCTTTCGTTTTCACCCCAAACTCGGGAATTTGACCCTACAAGGTATGAGTTGTGTTGGCATTTCTTCCATATTAACAGTTAATTTATATTTAATTTCCTCTTGTACGTTAACTTTTTTTTTCTTTTTCAACTAAGAGTGCCCTTCCTTCTGCTAAAGCATCATAATCTTTTGTATGTGTTGTATATTTTTATCTGATTCCTACATTATAATGGTTACCAAGGGTAAGATGGCCTCAAACCCGAAAACACTGGACTGGAGAGAGATACGTCTGCACTCTTCAGGATGGGATCAAAGGAAGGCGCTAAAAATAGGTGACCTGGAATGATGAAGTCCGAACCCGATGTAAATGAATGTATTTCTACTACCTTCTCCCCATTCATGTAGGAGAAGTATTTACATAAATGAATCAATATAGGTATGACTTGTTCAATGTGATTTCTGGAGGGTTGGTTGTCATTCTCACGCCAGAGGACCTTACGGCTTCACTTATATCTCTGTCAACGCCTGTTGTACAAATTTTCAACAAAGAATATCATGTTTTTATAATTGGTTTGATTCTATTTATTTATAAAAATGATAATGTATCATTCAAGTAAATTCTAGCATCCCTATACCCCCCCCCCCTCGAAGTTTTTTGAGAACTATTTTGTAAAAAAAAATTATGATCACATTATAACAAAATGGGGGTTAAAGTTAAAAATGCTGTTTTCGTCTATAAAAAGAGGATCTCTGTTACACCGAAGCAGATGAATGATTTATGCCATGTACTGATTGGTAATAAAGTATTGGTTACTTGCCTGTTGAATAGGGAAAAGTTTGGTCTTCCATGTCATGCCAAAATTGTTGAAGTTCGACTCGAACAAGGCTTTATTCGTTAATGTGATAACACCTCAGAATATTATTCATAAGACCAGTTGTGTACATTAGCTGCGCACAATATCAATTATTTCAGATTAAATACTGTCAAAAGGTTATGTGATATCACAGAAAATGGCAATGTTTATAAGGCAAAAATGGATGCAAACCTTTATGACGTTATTGCCGGAAGATATCGCCATGTGCTCTGCCATCCCGAAGCTTTGCTCAATACAAGTGTGCTCTGCCATCCCGAAGTTTTGCTCAAAACAAGTCTTGGGAGGAAATTGCTTGACAATGAAGATTTCTGTAGATTAATTGTGGCTGTGGTGGTTGATGAATGTCACATTTTAGACAAATGGTAAATTTTAGAAATCGAATAGAAAATTAAATCCTAATTAAATTTGCAAACGATGAGATTGTCTTGGGCACAGTTTTGAAGGTATATCCTGCACAATCTTTGTTAAAATCCATGAGTTATATGTTACAAGTACATAATTATTATATAAAAAATGTTCACAAGTTTTTATATGGAGAAATTTTAAGTTCAATTTTGGGTGTTTAATTGACTTGCATTTCTTCAATCTAGCATACACCAGCCTAAAATTTATCCTAAGTTTTGACTACTGAAACGATGTGTAAACGAACAATAACTGTGTTAAAAACCATTTAGGTTATTAATTGACTTGGAGGCATAACATTAATTTAACATAGGGCTTTGGTAGAGGGTACGTGCAGTGTTCCGTGGGAAGGATATGGAGATAACGAACAGTATTCAATCTCAAAGTCCATAAAACAATACAAAATAAGAGCACAGCAAACACGGACCCCCGAAACATCAGAGGTGGGATCAGGTGCCATGGAGGAGTGAGCATCCCCTGCTGACCGGTCACACCCGCCGTGTGCTCCTTGTCATGATCAGGCAATAACGGGGAAAAAAACCGTCGTCAATTCAGTGTATTAATAATGGACTAACAATTGGTATGAAAAACGTCAGTCAGCATTTGACTCAATGATAAATTGTATTTGCTGACAAGGTCATTGTATCGACCATAGATCTTACAAAATGATGACTTTAAACGGGACTGCTGATATTCTTGTTTCATCAACTTGCTTGTCAATAATTTACCTCGTTTTTAGATATTGTTCATACGTAGAGCATGCTCTTGCGTATCGAATCAACTGAAATATGTATACTCCGTATGCAGGTGATGAAGGTATATTGCTGCATAACTTAAACTGTTTTCTGCAGCTTTCCCTTACCGTATCACTCTCAGAGATATTCACAGACTTTGGTGTAAGTGGGAAAAGAATTCCCCGTTTTTTACACACACTTGCTCCTACCTCTAAGAAATGCAAGTTTGACACCTTTAGTTGCTCAAAAAGCTCAAGAAAACATGAGTTTTTATAAGAAGCAGTTTCTACTTTTTCCAGGTTCATCGTTTTTGTTATACAACTCGTCAGCAATGCCTCCTCCCACTATTTTTTTTTACTTGCTAACAAAGTCTTTTCCAGTATTCATTGGTTATTTTCTCCCTTTGAGCTTCAAAGTTTTAACATTTTGTGATAAGCAAATGAAACAATAATTGAAATCTTTTTCTTAACCGGCGTGGCCGCCGCCATGCTCGTTTTCGTCATGTGACAAAGGTAGGTCACGTGTACTGGAACTACTTTGCAGGCGTTGACAGAGGTGTAAGTGAAGTTTGTGTAGCGTCCTCTGGTGAGAAAATGGGTTGATTGTGTATGTATGTTGATTAACGTCCCTCTTGAGAATTATTAACTCGTATAGAAAGGCCACCACTTGCCGGTGAGAGCTACAATTTTTGTCCTATACACGGCATTCAGGACCATATAGCAGTGAGGGATCTTTTTCGTGCCAGCACCTACTGCGACACGGGACTTCAGTTCATACAATCTCGTCCGAATGACCGGTCTCCACGTCCAACAATGGGATTCGAAACTGCGACGTAAGGATCGACTCCTTATTTAGCGACTCTAGAACAGACGATTTAACCACTGCGCCTTGAAGCAGTGCCGAGGGGCTGAAATAAGCAAAGCATCCATTTCTTTAAGAATACTCAGAGTGATATCTGCTGTTTCACCATCTGAAGAATCGATCCCTCGAATGAATAATCAAGGGCTTTCGGTACTTTTTGACAAAGAGACACATTCTTGAAAGAACTGAATATGATTGTTTTTCTGTTTGCAGATTTCCGCTTGACATTGAGGATGGATGGAAGATTAAAAATTTAAATCTATTCTTACTTCCCGAATGGCTAAACAAGGTGAAACAGGCACTTGGGGCAAAGTTTTCCAGTCTTGCATTAGGCCAATTTTCCTGCACAGGATGTGGATAGATACCAAAAGAAAGATAAACATTTGGATGAAAATTAACTAGGTTCTAGCTTCTTGGAAACACATGTTTAGCAATGACAGCTTCTACTCATGAATATTTTCACTGATTGCCGAAAGCTTGAAAATCTCTCGTTTTCCGCGGGGTAATCTCTCTCGTTTTCCGCGGGGTTATCTCTCTAGTTTTCCGCTGGGTTATTTCTCGCGTTTTCCGCTGGGTTATCTCTCCCGTTTGCCTCTACCGTCTTTGTGGAACATGTGTTTGCTATCTCTATCTTTACCGTTCTCCTCTGCCATCCGTAGGTTAATTTCTATCTCTGGCTTATCCTTCTACTTCCTTACAATCTCTCTCTTCACTCTTTTATTATGGTACATAAATTCTCCTTTTTGGTTAAAGATTACTGTTTTTTCTTTCAATGCTGCCTGTCTTTTATTTTTTCTATCATAACTATGTATTTATTTAGTTTAGTCTAGTGGGCAGAACCTTAAATAATGAAGGGCATTTTGTTAATTTTTGCAAAAGAGACACTTTCTGGAAAAAAAAGTGAATTTGAAAGTGCTTGTTTCGCTGTTTGCAGCTTTTGCAGAGAGAATAGATGGAACATTAAACATTAAAACCAATCTCTATTTCTCCTTCTCCTTTGTCTTAACAAGAAGACACAGGCACAAAGTGAAGCAGAATTTTCCAGTAAGTGGCCATTTTTTTGTGCACAAGATGGGGATGGATACCAAAATAAAGGTAAACATTCGGATGAAAATCCACCAGGTTTTCCCAAGTTTCCAGCTGCTTCGGAACACATTGCATGACTGCTTCCGCACCATGAATGTTTTTACTTTTAACATATGGAGAAATGATGTGCAGTTTATTCATGAGGTTACTCTCACGTGATTTATTTCTCACTAATATTTACAAGATTCTGCATAAACTCAAATTATACCATTTCTTTATTTTGTATCAAACCATGTAATAGTATTTTTTTCTATTTTTTAAAGCCCCAGTCATACATGTAGCTATATGGGTAGAATTGCGTGATTGTCAGTAGGCAATTGA